TTACAAAGTAGAAATGAGAATCCTAGGTTGGAATGTGAGGGGGCTGGGTAGTGCTAGGAAGAGAATGGATTTTGATTGCAGATGGGCAAGAAGTGTCTGGAGAGCTAGGGGGATTAAGTAGGCAGCTGCTCTGTCGTGGGGGTCCTCAGGTGGGATTGTGACATTATGGAAAGATGTGCTAATAGGAGTGGAGGAGTTAATAGGTGATCATTCTGTTTCTTTAAAGTTTAGGCGGGTGGAAGATGGTTTTGAATGGGTACTAGCAAATGTTTATGGCCCCAATGGCTATAGGAAGAGAAAGAAATTGTGGGAAGAACTGAGTGATATTAGGGGCCTTTGGGAAGGACCATGGTGTGTGGGAGGGGATTTTAATGTAGTGAGATTCATAGAGGAAACCAACAACTCTAGACAGAGAGTGACTACAAGTATGAGGAAATTCAATTAGTTCATGGATACTTTTGAGCTTAAAGAATTTCCACTCCTAAATGATACCTTCACCTGGTCCAACCTCCAATCAAGTCCAATATGCTCTAAACTTGACATGTTTCTATTTTCTACAGATTGGGAGGAACATTGGGGTAATTTAACATCTAGGGCACTTCCTAGACTTACCTCGAACCACTGACCTATAGTGATGTGTAAGGAGGAAATGAGAGGTGATGGTCTTGCCCCTTTCATGTTTGAAAACAAGTGGTTGATCCATCTGGGCTTCATTGAGAAAATCAGGGAGTGGTGGGAGCATTTTAATCTGCTAGTACAGTGGAAAGGAATGAGGTTCCACAAAAAACTTCAATTCTTAAAATCCCAAATAAAGGAGTGGAACAGGTTGGAGTTTGGGAGAGTGGAGGAAAGGAAACATTTCTTGCTGGAGCAGATAGAGGATTTGGATATGAAGGAAGAAAGGGGATTTTTTGGAGAAGAAGACATGGGGAGGAGATGGAGTTTAAGGAGGCAAATAGAGAACTTATTGCTTAAGGAGGAAATAAGTTGGAGACAGAAATCTAGGTGTAAATGGTTAAAGGAGGGGATAGAAACACTAGATTTTTCCATTCACTGGCAAATGTTTGGAGAAAGAATAACTTCATCTCAAAATTGGAAGTTGAAGGAGCAGTCATATCCCATCTAATAGAAATATCAGAGGCCTTTGTAAGTCATTTCAAATCTATTTTCAGAAGACCTTTAAATGAAAGGATTTGGTTGGAGGGTTTGGATTGGCCGACTCTAAGTACAGAAAACAAAGTGTGGTTAGAAAAGAGATTTGAGCTGGAGGAGATAAAGGGAGCAGTATTTTCAATGGATAGAACAAAAGCTCCAAGTCTAGATGGTTTCACAATGGCTTTTTATCAGGATTGTTGGGATATTGTGGAGAAGGATCATGGCTCAGTGTTCGAGGAGTTCCACAGAAGGGGAATAAGTAACTCGGGTTTGAATTTCACATTCATTGCTTTGGTACCAAAGAACAAAGAGGCATCACAACCAAGGGACTTTAGACCTATTAGTCTGGTGAACATTTTGTATAAAATAATTGCATAAGTGTTGTCTCTAAGGTAAAGAAGGTTCTTCCTACCATTATTGCACCTAACCAAGGTGCTTTTGTGAAGGGAAGACAGATTACCGATCAAATCTTGATTGTAAATGAGAGTCTGGAGAGCTTTAGGAAATCCAAGAAGAAAGGAGTGGTTTGCAAACTGGACTTGGAGAAGGCTTATGACATGGTTGATTGGTCTTTCCTGTTGGAGGTGTTGAAAAGTTTTGGATTTGGAAACAGGTGGTGTAAATGGATTTGGGGTTGTGATAGGAGTTGCCACTATTCTATTTTGGTGAATGAAACTATGGTGGACAAGGAAATCCACTTTCCCCTTTTCTTTTCACTATGATTGTTGATGTCCTTGAGTGATTGATCCATAGAGCAGACTCGAGGAATTTAATAAAAGGTTGGAGAGTAGGAAGGGAGGAGGTACCACTTACACATTCGTAGTTTGCAGATGACACAATCTTGTTTTGTGACGGTGGGGACATAAAATTGGCAATACAATTCTTTGAGTAGGTGTCTAATCTCAAGGTGAACTTGGATAAAAGCAGTATGGTGGGTGTGAATTTGAAGGAGAGGGAGCTAAGTGAATATGCAGGCGTGTTAGGTTGTGCAACCTTGGATTGGCCTATGATTTACTTAGGCCTCCCCTTGGGGGATAATCCTAAGAAGGAAAGCTTTCGGAACCCGGTGGTGGAGAGATTTGAAAAATGACTTGCTTCTTGGAGAAAAAATTATCTTTTCTTGGGGGGAAAATCACTTTGATTAGATTTACCCTAGCTAACCTACCTGTTTACTTCCTGTTAGTGTTTAAGATCCCCACAAAAGTTTCTAACATTTTGGAAAAATTAATGAGGGATTTCTTGTGGGAGCCTGGAGAGGAAAAGAGGGATCATATGGTGAGTTGGGAGGTGGTAACTAGATGTAAAAAGCTAGGAGGTCTTGGGATTGGGAATATTAGGAAAAAGAACATGGCATTGTTGGGGAAATGGTTATGGAGGTTTCCATTGGAAAGAGAAATTGTGGACAAAGATTGTAGCTAGCATACCTGGGTTGGAAGACAATGGTTGGGAACTTGGAATTTTGGCAAGGGCTACAGTTGCCTCTCCTTGGAAAGCCATTCATGATTTGCTTCCAGTTTTCTCCCCTTGGATCAGGTATGGTCTTAATTTGATGGACCAATTTCCCTCTTTGTATGCTTTATCAGATTTGAAAAATGAATCCATATCATCCTTGCTAAGCCTTTCAGACTCTCCTTTTGGTTTTGGGTGGAACCTAGGTCTGAGAAGGGTAATTAGGGATACAGACTTGGGCTACATCATGTCTTTGTTAGTCATCATTGAAAATGTTTTCTTGGACACTAATAAGGAGGACACCAGATTTTGGATTCCTTCCTTAGGTATTTTCTCTTGCGCTTCGTTTTTTGAAACATTAGCTCAGCCTTTTGATCCTATTGGGTTGTCCTTCCCGGTTAAGGAAATTTGGAGTAAGCCCATTCCTCCTCGGGTAGTTTTTGTTGGGAAACTTTTTTGGAAAGAATTAACACAAATAACCTACTTCAGAAAAAGAGACCCAACTCTTGTTTACTTCTTAATAGGTGTACTCTCTGTAAAGCTAATGGGGAAACTGGTTACCACCTTATGGTTATTTGCTCGGTTGCTAAAACAGTATGGGAGTGGGCTTTTTCCCTCTTTGGGAGTATTTGGATTCTCCCTTGGAGCGTCGAAAGCTTGTTCTCTTCTTTTTCCATATGGCCGAAGAAGAGAGGGAAGATTATGTGGAGAAGAATTAGGGCAGCAGTGTGTTGGTCCCTATGGGAAGAAAGAAACTTACGAATATTTTCAGACAAGGAAAGAACCCTAGAAAACTTATTAGATCTAATACTTTTAAGGGTGTTCCACTGGCTGAAAACTATGGAGCTGTGCCAAGAAACCTTTAAAAGGAAGGAAGAATCTGATGCTGCGAAGATAAATCTATCTTCTGAGGATTGAGTGATCCTCTCTTGTACCTAGGTACGTGTTTTTTGGAGGTCTAGATGACCTGAAACTGCTAAGTTCCCTTGCACTTTGGATCGTGTGGTCCTATTTTATTTACCTAGTCAACTGGGCGGTGGTGTAGGTCAAAATGACCTATAACTATAAGACAGTGGTCGGCTACCTTGACTGAACTGTAACTGTGGCTGTGACTGAACTGTAGAATTGGGGACTGAACTGTAATGTGGCTGAACCTTGACTGAACTGTGGCTGAACTGAATTAGGTTTGAACTTTGACTGAACTGGGGGCTGAACTGAATTATAGTTTGAACTTCGACTGAACTGGGGACTGAACTGACTGAACTGAAATTGAACAGTGGCTGAACTGTAAACTGAATTGTGACTGAACTGGGGACTGTGCTGACTGAACTGAAATTGAACAGTGTCTGAACTGTAACCTTTTCTGAACAGACCTGATCTGGAAACCTAAATCTTATAATATGTTTTCTGAAGATTCTATTCTGTCTAATGGGTCCCCAAGTCAAGGTGGAGTGAGTGGGGGATTTGACACGAGTTTTCTTTCCTTTTTCTATTTTTAATAGATTAATTACATGAGGCATTTCTCACCAACTTGAGGCCGAAAGCTGTGGGGTGCATACCTCGCTGAACTTGAGGCCTTGGCCTGAGACCTTGTAGAGAAAACTGTTAAGTTCAGGCATTTGGACTTTGCATTGCCTTGAGGCATACACATCAATGCCTCGTCTCATTGCCTTTTAAAACCATGGTTCTAGGTGTATTTCTGTGAAGATGAAAGGTGATAAAGACCTATGCTGGTCAATTCTATACGAGGACATTTGGAGATGGTTTGGTAAAAACTAAAATTGCTGAAATGAGAGTTTCAACTTTTGATGCAAAAGGAGAAATTTATCTAGATTCTCAACCTTTCTTGAATGAACGTTGTTAAAGTAAGAATCACTATGTTTTTGATGGTTGACATATATGCTAAAGTTTGTAGTGAAAGATTGAAAAGAAGGGAATCATTCTAGGGTTTGTAGGAATCCCTCACTAAGCATATTTGTATAAAAGTTCACTGCAGTATAACATCCATGCTTTGAGAACAATGAACATATGTAGACTCTCTAGTATCAGCCAAAATTAGAATTATGCCACTTGTAAACTTTAGCCCGAAGAAAATTCACTCCTTATCCACTTTACCTAGGATTCTGTAACTTCAATTATGATTCAATAAGGACTATTTGGTCAGACCCCATAAAATTTATAAAATAACCAAAATACTCTTATTATGTAGTAATGCAAGATCGAATAAAAAATTAAAAAGGTTTTCAAATTTTATTCTGGCTCCTGCATCAGTAACCATCTTGGAATGTGGAACCCAATACAGTTAGTGATTTGTTTGGACGAAACCCCCCAGAATCGACAAGCAATAGTGGGTTCCAGCCACTTCCTTTGTAATTCTCTCAATTTGGTGTTTGCAGGTGATTGGTGATGTTGCCCTTCAACTGCACGCTGGGAAACCATTGACAGGAATCGATGCTGTCAATTGAAAAAGAAAAAAAAAATTCTACAAGGTCTGTTGCATGAAGAAAATTTGCTTAATTATCCATTCATATTAAGACATACTATTTGGACTGCACTGAGCTTAAATGAATTTTGTATTACAATTTACAAGCTGATATTTGACGAAAAATCTCGTTTCTGATGATGTTCACGTGCCTGATGGGTTTTCCAAGGCTCCTAGCTCAAGATGAGTAAGAAACTTAGACTACACTGATTGAAGGAGTATAAGAACATGACTGTCTACGTTCAACAGGCTTTTGTCCACGAAGCATTCCTTGCATGACAAGTTAGTCCATAATAACTCCATGCAACGATTGCACTGCCGAAAGGCATGGGCATAATGGTTTAACTGTTCTTGATGGTAGAGGTTGTCATACGTGGATGGTGGCCAGAGTTCTCTCAAATTTTATTGACAACTCCCCTTGTTAATTTGATTATATTGATACTTGAACTGTGTAGGAGGTGAGTCTGCAACAGGGCCTTGTGAAGAATCCCACATCAACTTGGGCATATGGAAAGTTGGGGGAAGATAAAAATGTCGCTGCATAGGACTTTACCAAGCATGGATCAAAGAAGCCACATTAGTATTACTGCCACAGCTTGAGGAAGCATTGCAAGATCCACTAGAACCATTGGACCACAGAAGACGAAGAACAACAAAATGTAGTTCATGGAGTAGAAGCAAGACCACATGTTCCATCCACTACAAAGCTGTTTCTAGGCATCAAAAGCCCAGACTACACCAATAGCACCGGTAGGACAAACACCACCTTTTTCACTAGATCTTGATTTCATCACCCCAGTAGAAAGTCATCCAGTGCTAGGACCATTCAAGATTCGTAGAAAGTCATTCAATGTTAGGATTATTTAAGGATTATTTTTCAGCTTCTATGAAAAGGCTTGGCCGAATTTATTGCTAAACGTAATGAATCCCTGAGCACATCACTATGGGCTCAACATTTACACTTAAATAATCATTGAATCCAATAATCCTATGAAGACCCAAGGATAATGGACTTAAATAAGATAAAACTCATAAGGTAATTAACCCTTAATGGTCACTTACACTTAACCTCTCGGCTAATAATGATCAAACACTGTCCAACAGAGAACCTCTCCCCTGACTGCAAGGTGTAGTGTCACATTCTCTACTTTGAATGATCATGAGAATTAAAACCTTTTGCAAATATTTTTCATAAAAACATTATAGGGGTTATGTATAATTTTTTAGTTTTGTCCATTAATCTCCAAGGTCCAGGGCATAACTGGAAAGTGGTTTGGGTTCAGCGTTACAACCAAACACACACTATATGTGCTTCGGGTGTAACCTTATCAGTTGAGACAACTTGTCCTAACTTCTTTGGCAGTAGATCAGTGTCAGCATTGGGTCTAACCCTAGCATCTGAGACAAGTTACCCCAAATTCTTTGGCAGCACATCAGTGACAGTCTTAGTAGGATAAACTCCCAAAATCTATCTAACAGCTGAGAACATTTTAAACTAACACGAGTCTCGTAAGTGTTCAGTTTAAGGGGTAAATTCACAAAAATATACCAATGTCAACATGAAACCATAATGTACTTTTATTCATTTACTATCTATATATTAATCGGATTGGAGCTATGGGCATGCACTATCTAACAACTCCCATTTGTAATTAGGTCTAATTGGGTACAAGCCTTAGTCTCATATTGTCCATGTGTTTTTCAAACATTTTCTGTGTCACTAGCATAGTCAATGGGTATGCCACATTATCCATTGATGCTACTTTCTAAATTTGAATGTCCCCTTTACCAATAATCTTCCATAAATTTAGTGTTGTCACACAATAGTGGAATGGGTGACATGATAGGATTTCAAATTATAGGATGAATTTCTTCATCCATACTACTTATTAGGTCGCCTCACTTACAACAATGTTCTTGGCCTCGGTTATAGACTATCTTTCTTACTACATAGGGTTCCAAAGTATCTAGATATAGACTTTCTATCATCTGGTTTAGGTTAGATGTTGGCATCAGTATGCTCGACCATCTATAGTGAGTTACCTTCAAAGATAAGACAAAATAGTCTTTAGTCCTCCATAGGTACTTTAGTATGCTTTTCACAGCAATCCAATGCTCTTGTCCTGGGTAAGATTGGTATCTACTTACAACACTAACAGATTGAGTAATGTCTAGCTGAGTATACAACATAGCATACCTGATGTTCCCTATAGCTGATTAAAGAAGTTTAGGATACATCATATGGATGCCCAACCATACCAGATGGATGGGCGAAATTTCAAAAATTTTCTTAACTTTTTGAGAATCGAATTCCCTGCAATTTGAAACACTACATTTTCGAGGATCGATCTTGCACTGAAACCATACCAGATTTGAAACTAAAACAAGAGGGAGATGTATACCTAATACGGATTCCAAGAGTGTAGCTCCTAAGGTGGGAAGTTCATACCCAAATCAGTCTCTAAAACCAGTTTCCACTGAAGATGGTGTAGCTTGATGTTGAAGTCAATTCAGTAGTGCAATTTTTAGCAAAACTGCAATCTAACTGTTTGGATCAAACTAGGAGGTGAGCACGAATTTTTTTCTGAATTTTTCTTGCAATAATCAAAGGAAGAACTGATCTTTATTAGTCCTAAAAGGTGAGGTCGAACTAGGGTTTGTTGGGTGATAAGAAAAAAAGAGGGAGACAGTAGAATTTGCAGTAGTAGTCTTGAGGAGTTCGCCTTCTTCTTTTATCCTTTATGGAACACTTTTCCTAATCGAATTAGGAGATTTATCCAAATCTTTATTTTAATCTGCACTTTATCAAGAGATTGGTCTTATCCTCTTAAGAGAACGGGTGCTCCATACCCATTTCCAAACCCAGATTTTTCCCATGTCACATGACAACTTAAGCAGTCATGTGACATCTTAATTAACAGATTTGGCCAAGAGTGTTGCTTGGCCAATTTAGGTTTTATTTGTATGGCGTGGGAATCCCACAATGACCTCACATAAGCTCACACGGGTTCAACCCAACCTTTGTGAAAAGGCCTAGCCGAATTCACTATTAAAGGTAGTGAACCCTTGAGCACATCACTATGGGCTCGAAATGGGCATAACATTACAATTAAATGATCATTGAATCAACCTATCCTATAAAGACCCAAGGATAATGAACTTAAATAAGATATAACCCATTAGGTAATCAACCCTTAATGGTCTCATACACTTAACTTCTCAGTTCAAAATGATCAAACACTGCCCGATAGGAAAGGACCTCTCCCTTGACTGTAAGGTGCAGTGTCACACTCTCTGCTCGGATGGATCCCAGGAATTAAAACCTTTTGCAAACATTTTTCATAAAACATAATATATATCATATAAGTATATTTTGCAAAACCAAATCTCAAACATAGTTGAAATCCACTACCAGTAGTTTAGGTTTCCATCAGAGAAATGGTAAATTTGATCATTCACTTTGTCTAACAAAGGGGCTGATCTTATTACTATGATCACCCACTTAAGTGAATTCTCAGACTGCCCCAACATTCCTAAGTTTTAACCCACAAAGGATCTTACTGATTGATATATCAAAGACAACTCAATCCGACACGTAGTGCCATAATCAACATACCTAGGTTTATCTATGTTCCATCTTCATTTATTCATCTTTGAGATTTCCCTCATATCTTAGTGATGATGACACAATTCATGGCCCTAGAAACGTGGGAAATCACATAGGTGCATGGGGCCAACTGTTTCAGCTGCATAACCTCACCACTTTTTGTGAAGGATCACATATCCACCTATCCAATGAGCTTTCCCTTTCGCCTCCATCAAACAAGTCTCATTACCATTTTAGGTTAAACCTTCCTGTCTGGTAAATGCAGACCTGTCACTTAGTCTATGGCCCCCCTTTATCTCATGAAACAATTCCATCGACTACATCAGCAAAATGGATATCCAATCGATGCTAATGACGGAAGGCCTTTAGAGAATTCATCCTATGATATTCCCTATTTCATTGCAATTATTTTAATTTAGAGGGAACGTGTAAAATAGTCCTTAGGTCTGATTTAGGTTATACCATAGTGGCTCCCACTTACTTTCATTAAGTCAGATTCGAATGGACCCATAATGGACTAGGGTTCCTGCGAGGTTCCTCTTGGGGAGGAAGTTGATTAGGGATCTATCGAAAAGGGAGATCATGTAATGATCTTTGGTTAACATGACAATGATGTGCATTCGGCCATGATATTCGTAGAGAGCCATATAAGTTAATACATGGGCCAAACACTTATGGCCCATGAACGAATCACATTGGTGTGCTACCAAATGTTGGGGTAGCCTGTCTCAGCCACCAGGGTGAGACCTAAGGCACATGCAGTGTAGGATTAATTGAATTTTTGAACCGGGCCAGATTTCTAGTATTGCCCTAGACCTTGGAGATTGGTGGGCAAAACTGAAAAGTTACACTTGACCCCTAGACTCGATTATGATACTGTATTAGGTGTTGGATTGGGCTGTTTTTGATGTGCCAATCAGTGAGATCCTTAGCGGGGGTCAAAACCTGGGTATGTTGAGACAGTCTGAGAATTCATCTGAGTGGGTGATCATAGTGACATGATCAGCCCCTTTGTCGGACAAAGGTAATGATCGGGGATGCACTCTCTCTGATGGAAACCAAGACTGTCGGCAGCCGATTTCAATCGTTGAGATTTGTTTTGCAAAATATATATAAAAGTATATATATTATGGTTTCCAAACGTTTGCAAAAAGGTTTTAATTATCGGGATCCATGTGAGTAGAGAGTGCATATTCCTTGCAGTTGAGGGAGAGGTCCTCTCTTGTCAGGTAGTGTTTAATCATTATGGGCTGATAGGTTAAGTGTAAGACCATTGAGGGTAATACCTGATGGACTAATCTTGCATCTGCCTACAGTCTCTAGGTGTTACAAAGTGGTTTGGCCTATGGACCACTTAGGGTAAGTGTTGGGCTCATAGAGCCCATGTGATGGGTTTCACGGGGTGCACTGTCCATAACAGTGTATTTGGTCAGGCCTTGTCACAAAGGCTGGACAAAACCCATGCGGCTGATGTGTAGTTCAATGTTTGGGTCCCACGCCATACAAGGAAGCCCAACTGGGCAGCAGTTTGGAA